TAACGTTTAGGTTGACCTGTGTGGAGTCAGGAGTTGGACTCTATGATCCTCATGGGTCCCTTCCAACTCAGGATATTTTGTGATTCAAAGCATATTCTGTTTTACCATTTTGTAGTTTCATTTTTGCAGGATGTGCATGAGGAAAAATAGTAGTAATACAATAAATTGTGCATGATGTTTGTGTTGCATTTAAGCAACTTGACTACCTTCTTGGCTCTGCTATGAGTGCGATATCAGCCAATGTTTTGATCTTCTCATAATGCCAATCATGGGACTTTAAAAGGTCAAAAATATATAAAAATAGTGAAATCAAGGTTTGAAGAATTTCATTTCTGTAATAATTTTAAACCCCACTCTCCACCAGGAATAATGCTGTAATCATTACAGCTTTGCTTATCTCACCTTGGAGATTCATTATTCACAACTTTTCCTTGTTTTGTTGTAGTTGTTAGCGTTGCTTGTTTTCTTCCCAGTTATTCTAGTTGTTGGGGAAGTCTGAGCAAATCCCTGGACACATGCATGTATTTGGTGTTCTGCCACTACAAAGCAGCTTTCTTTTCACCTAAAGAGGATTTTTTTTTTCCAGAAATATTTGATTTCATAGTTTAAAAAAATACTTGAAATTTTCTTTCTGTGTGCTTTTCTTGTTAATAACAGTATAAAAATATAGACTTTCTTCCCCTTGAACATAACAATCTAAGAGAAGCTATTAATGTGAAGATTTCAAAAGTTCCTGTATATTGTGCTGAAGATGACCATATTCACTTCCTAATAATTTCTGCGCAATCCCATAAATTTTATTAGATCTATAATTCATATTCTTTTATTCTATTTAAGTGCATTCTGTGCTGGAAATTTTCCATCATTTCCTTTTTCAACAGGACTACTTTTCACACTTTGCCCCGGTATGTAGAATCATAGAATAATTTAGGTTGAAAAAGACCCTTATGATCATCGAGTCCAACTGTTAAACTAACACTGCCAAGTCCACCACTAAATCATGTCCCTAAGCACCACATCTACACATCTTTTAAATACCTCCAGGGATGGTGATTCCACCACTTCCCTGGGCAGCCTGTTCCAATGCTTGACAATACCTTTGGTGAAGAAATTTTTCCTAATATCCAGTCTAAACCTCGCCTGGCATAACTTGAGGCCATTTTCTCTTGTCCTATCACTTGTTACTTGGGAAAAGAGACTGACACCTGCCTCTATACAACCTCCTTTCAGGTGGTTGTAGAGAGCAGTAAGGTCTCCCCTGAGCCTCCTTTTTCTCCAGGCTAAACAACCCCAGTTCCCTCAGCTGCTTCTCATGAGACGTGCTCTAAATCCTTCACCAGTTTTATTGTCCTTCTCTGGACACACTCCAGCACCTCAATGTCTTGTAGTGAGAAGCCCAAAACTGAACACAGTATTTGAGGTGTGGCCTCACCAGTGTCGAGTACAGGGGGACAATCTGCTAGTCCTAGTCCTGTTGGCCACACTATTACTGATACAAGCCAGGGTGCTGTTTGCCTTCTTGGCCACCTGGGCACACTGCTGGTCATAGTCAGCTGGCAGTCAACCAACACCTCGAGGTCCTTTTCCACCAGAAAGCTTTCCAGCCACTCTTCCCCAAGCTTGTAGCATTGCATGGGGTTGTTGTGACCCAAGTGCAGGACATGTGACACTCCATGCAGTTAAGGAGGGCTAGAAATATTCTCTTCACTGTTGCTGCTGGCTTAACCACAAGATTAGTCTGTGGGAAGAAACAGGATGGTTTATTGAGCATTGACCAAAGAAGTGATAGACTCGAGGAAGCACATAAGCAGAGAGAAATGACAGTTTTATATATGTATGTGTAGTATTATACTTTTTTTGTGTGTTTGTATGGCTATATGGAAAAAGACATTGGATCCAATTGTGTTCCCTTACAGGCTTTCAGAAAAGCTGAAGATAGGAGTAAAAATAGTTTTAATTTGGCACCAATGAATTATAATCTTTGCAAATTTTAGCATACCTGATTTCCAAGTAGTTTATTATCAGCATTAAGCTGACTAAGCCTGAGTACAGTGCCACCCAATTCAAGAACCACAAAGCTGAATAAGATATAGACTCCTTAGGTTTTACTTTCTTCGTTGGATTTTAATTTTGTTTGCCTATATATTGTAATTTTTATAGGCTCACAAAGTGTAAATAATGTGAGATACTATCTTCTCTAATGTAATGCAGATGGCTTTATCAGCATATTTTCTTTCCAATTGTGTGTGATTCTGATTGCTACCTAAACTCCCAGTAAAGAATTAAAAGAATTACAAGCTTCAATTATTATTTTATTTTAAAAGAGTAGATAATACAAACATGTTTTTACTATTTCAGTGGATAAATTTGTATTTTATGATTTTTTGAAGGAATATGGATTCCCTCTTAAAGAAGCATTATGTTGACCAAAAATGGAAGTTACTTTGTATTCCAGTGATTTACAGACATTTGGTGTAAATGATTTTCTTAGGCATTAATCAAAGCAAAATTTTCAACAAGAGTTAATAATGTCAAAAAGGCATACCATATACAATTCTGTGCTTTATGGGTTCATATTGAACAGACTTTTGTACTAAATGTGTGACATATATCTTGCAGGAAAAAGTGGAAAATATTACAGAATTATTAAAGCAATGTGTGTGATATGGTACTTTATTTCACTTCATATCTAAGAATGTGACTCCATTGTGTAGGTTTCAGAAAAAGGGAAAACCTGAGATCTAAGGGTAGCCTAAAGCATTTTTTTTAGTATGCAGTAGTTCTGCATTGCCTAGGTCTGTAATTTTATAAACTCTTGAGAAAAGACATGTTCTCTCCCCTCTGGTAGATTACATCCTGGTGGCCAGTCAATATCCTGCAGAGATGGTCTGTGTATTTGGTGCTTTGTTGGGATCATAGTGAAGGCTGATTGTAGAAGCAGGCTCAGTCTAACTTTTCAACTTTGGAGGAGTTTCATTGCAATAACAACCATTTGTGTTTCCACAGAGGAAGTAAAATAGGTCTGTATATAACATTGTGCTTGATTTTCTGGGAATGTGTGTGTAAGGAAGACTTGTGTTATAAGTTTGTTTTATACACATGGGAGATGAGGCTGAAGGTTTCAAAACAAAGTCCACAGTGTCATGGTCTCCTTGGATCTCCAATTTTCAGGACAATGTACTCTGTGATTTAAACTTTATTTCATGAGCTCATTGAGAAATACAACAAACACACACAACAAACAGGGGCTCAATCCCCTTTTGCCCAGACTAGTCTATCACGTGAATTCACTTATTCACCATTCCAGTCATAAGGTTTCATAATTTATAACCCATAACTCTTAATATCATGCACCTATGAGCAAAAGAAAAGAATTAGTTACCTAGCTGACAGTGAGAGTGCTCATCCTTCCTCCTCCATCATGATGCAGGCATCCCCTGTGTTACACCAGGAAGCATGAAAGCCTCAGCAGTCCAGCTGCTGTTGGATCCACTTCAAAAGCTTTTGGGGTAAGCTAATGTTTTATACCTTCCAGCTTGGAGGTTTCGTCTGTACCATTTCATAAGTTAGCAGATTCTGATGAGACTGCCAGACAAAAGATAATGGCTGCAGGAGACAGCAATTTGCAGGTGTTAATGGCTATAGTATAATAGCCTTTTAGTGGTTTCTGGCTACCTGTCCTGCCAACGTTGGTCTCTGGCTTTCACCTAATGGTGCTGCTTTCAGCATACATCAGGCCTTAGCATGAGTTGTGTTAGCCAAAAATCTAAGCAGGAGTTGAGTGAACAGTCACGCACAGCAAAGACAAAAGCTTTTAGAGGATTCCAGGTTAGATTTTTTGCAGCGTAGTACCTCGGAAGTACTTAAGGGTTGCCAGCACAGCATCATTCTTTAACCTTACATTGCACTGCTTGTGAAATACACTACTCTGAAACACCTAAAATATCATGTAAAGCATAAGGCTTTCTTTATCCTGGGAGCCAAATATTAGAGTATGAATGAGGCATGAAAGCTTTGTAAAAAATGATCAAAATAAAATCCAGGCTAAAAGGCTAAGAAGCACTGCATGCAGGTAAATGCATTGCATTTCTTAGGGGGCTGAGTAGATAGGTGAACATACTGCATTCATATGTCTGTGCAGCTGTTTGTTCTAAATTTCACTTCCTCCTTTTAAATTATTCACGTGATTTGTTTGCTTAGATAAGCTCTCCTAATCACAGAGAGACTGAATTGGGCCAAAGGAAAAAATGCTGTGTGATATATTCTGTGCGAAATTCCTAACAAGCAGGTCTTAACTTAAAATTGTTAAACATTCAGAATGTCATTCAGAATGTTAATTTATAAGTTATTATTTGTGCTTTGTGTAAAGTACAATGATGCAAAGAAATTTAAAGGAAGTAATGACTCTCTGTTCACAAATATGAGCCAAATTTTAATTTAAGCTGATTTTATATATTTCTGGGGTTGAAATTTGCAGAACAGTAATTGTTATATTATTTGCCTTTCTAACAAGTTTATGTATTGGTTGTATATTGTTGCTTACCATAATGTCCTGAAGGTTGGTCAAGCAAGATAAATTTTTCTTACTCTATGAATTTTTGTGATAGAACATCTCATAATAATTCCCTAAAGTTAGTTGTTGTTGAGAACTATACCTTCAGGAATGGAAATTTATGCTTATAATTTTAAATACACAGTGGTATATTCTAGATGCTTTGGAGCATATATTTTGTTTTAGATATTAGTTTAGTTAATAACTCATTGCTATCTTTTTTTCTACTTCTATTTTGTCTTCAAAATAAGTTTTAATTCAGTGTTGCTTCAGTTGTTACTGTGTTACTGCTGTTTTGATATTGAGCTGGTCCTAGTAGCAAGCACCTTGCAAGCACCATAACCACTTGACAGTGTTCTGCCCTGCACTGGACAAGCTGTCTGCTTTGTGCAGAAAAGTCATGTTTGTGTCCAGTGGCTGAAGTATATTCTTCTTATTTGTCTTGTAGGCACAGGAGAGAGTGGCAAAAGCACATTCATCAAACAGATGAGAATCATTCATGGATCAGGTTACTCTGATGAAGACAAAAGGGGCTTTACAAAACTGGTGTACCAGAATATATTTACAGCAATGCAGGCCATGATCAGAGCCATGGATACACTCAAAATCCCATACAAGTATGAACATAATAAGGTGAGATTTTTGTTTATTTCCATAGCTGAAACCTTTCCTCTTTTATCTTTAGGAAATGTACTGAAGGTCTCTAAAAATTATACATCACATACAAGTTATATTTTACCTAAAGTTTAGAAGAAAAGGGCTCCTTCCAGTCCTGCCTCTAGTTCTCTACCGTTTGTGCTGCTCTGACAACACAGGTGCTGTTCTTAACAAGATGTCTGGGAGGGTTTGTCATAGTGAGAGGGTAAAGGGCAGGCTGGTGTTTGCCTGTGACTTTAGTTATCTTTTTTCCTTTCTTCCCAACCCAAGTACTGGCCAGAGCACAATTTAAGCTATTTTTCTGGTTTGTACCAGTACTACTTAAGGTTTTCCATTAATATTATGTGGGGAAAAAATAAAACTATTAGAAAAATAGGCCTTAGAATAAGCAAATTCTTTTGAAAGTGATATAATTGAAATTTAGAAAGAGAAAATACATTTAAAGCATTTTATAAGGTTATATCCTTTATTAGCCTAACTTCTTTCCATTTTTTCCATTCAGAAATTGAAATCAAATGTATAACTGGTATAACTAGTATTAAAAAGGAAATTTGCATGTGTATTTCAGCTCCATGTTTTTGCTGTACATAAAGCACTGAATTTCCTAACAAGCTGACTTGAAAAGTTAGTTGATTGTAAAATGCACATATTTCTTCAGAATTGGTATTGACTGTCACTTTGCTGTAGTATATGAAAGTCTTAATCATCAATCAGTAAATTATTTCCTTGTATTATACTACAAAGTATATATTCTACATTTATTGTTCAAATTGTGTGTTGAATTTATATAGTTTTTTTTATATAGTTGAAGTGAATCAATTAGATGTGACATAGCTGTATACACGTGGCCAGACCTTTCTAATTAGAGCTGTTCACTTTCTCTATATAAAAATAACTTGACTGAAAGTGAGTCTTTATCTTTGCTCTCAACTACTTTGGAAGCATTCCCATCAATTCTAATAGGGCTAGGCGTGGAGTAAAGTAAAACTTGCCAAAGTTGTCAGGTTCTAGATGCAATTCCTTTAAAAACTCAGGGGAATTAAAAAATGCAAACTTGCCTCCCCCCCCCCATTTTTTTTTCTTTTCTTGATTGAAAGCAAACTCATTAGCCTTGCAACCTAAAAAACACAGGAAGGGCACTTCATATTAATTTGAATCTCATATCAGGAAATTCAGTCCCTGGAGAGAATATCTCAAAGTTTGAGTAACAGACTATTTTTAGAACAGTATTTGTTTTGCATAATAGCTTAGAAAACTACAGCTCAAGCTGATGTTTATGTGGCTGAGCCTAAAGGAAAGAGAGTGAAGTGACCCTTTTCTCAAATTCAAAAAGTTCAGTTAAGTAGGTAGTTGGGATCTTTGTACAGTGTAAAAAATGACATCTAGGCTGGATTATTTTAATATCTTCAATGTAGAAAGAGACATATTTTAAGTTAAAGAAGTTAGTTCTTCCAGCATTGTGTTGGCTTCATAGTCACTAGAGGCAGTCTGAAATGCAGTGTTCTAAATTATAATAATCTAGGCTCTTCAAAAAAATTATTATCACAATAGTGAAAGTCAATTGATAAATGTAAATATTAGTGTTTACATTGTAATGTCTCAGAACTGATGGCAGGGCATTGTATCATACTTCTTTCATCACACTTTTCATCACACTTCTTTCTCTTGTCAACTCTACAATATGAGCTCTACTGAGATTTAAGATAATGGGTGAGGGTTGTCTTTTCTCTGAGGGATGTGACATAGGAAATGGTGGGTTATGGATTGGCTTTTAGTTTCCTTTTGAGTAAATTTTACTGTGTTTCCGTTATTTTTTAACCAGAAGTTGTGAAGTTTTTATATGCATCTTGAATTTTGATGAAGCAGTTTATAAAATATAGAAAAGCCTTAGGTATGTTTTTTTCTGTTTTCTTCTGTTTTTTACAGAAATGACAATTCTCAGAATTGCCTGTCTGCAAAATTTTATTGAATGTACAATAGTAACTCATGTGCAACCACTGACATTCAAATTCAATTTTTAAAAATTAAGATATAGATGTATATATTTTAAAATCTTTTTAAAAACTGTCTTTTTAGAAATTTGACCTATGTATCTATATTCCTGTCAGTCCTTTCAAATACTGAATTAAGAAAACCATTAACTTCAGTTTTTATAACTTCTGACATTCCCGATGTTGTCCATAGTGGCTTAGAAGCCATTGCTCCAGGTAATATAGTCCCCCTGTCCTTTTCCATGTCTAATATTGCTGAAGGCTGACTTTTTATTTTTTCTCTCCTGTTGTTACAGAAGTTTTACTAAATAAATCTACTACTGTACTGAAGAACTACTACTACTTTTACCACTTATTGTTCCTATTCAATATAATTTCCAGAAGACAGTTGCCTCTTCTTGCAGACTGTCAGAAAGTTGTGACTCAGTAATGGTTAGCAGGCAGGAAATCTTAATTTAATCCATGCCCATCATTTCATGTGAGTCTTCGTAAATATTTATAACAAGATATCTAATGTGAGTAAGATAGTAACAGAACGGGTTACAAGAAAATATAGAGACTGAAACCATAAAATCACGTCTTATTGTAGACCAAGAAGTTTGCTATAAGTTTCAAAGAGTGGTTCCATTGATGAAATTGTTTCTGTATTTAAGCCTATTTCCTATAGGGAATGTTTAAAAATTAAAATAAGCAGGTATGGGAAAATGCTTTTAAAGTTCAAAATCTTACTGATATTATCTTCAAGTCCAAGTTTATTTTTTTGATCCCTCCCAGTCAGACAAATCTACTGTAACAAACAAACAAAAGTAAGACATCAGGATCAGGTATGAAGTCAAATTACATAAATTCACCTCTCAAGTTTTTCTTGAAAAGGAGAAATTTATATTTACATGAATTCACCTCTCAAGGAGGGCCACAAAGATGATCAGAGGGCTGGTGCACCTCTCCTATGAGGTGAGGCTGAGAGAGTTGGGGTTGTTCAGCCTGGAGAAGAGAAGGCTCTGGGGAGACCTTATTGCGGCCTTCCAGTACCTAAAGGGGGCCTACAGGAGAGCTGGGGAAGGACTTTTTACTAGGGCATGTAGTGAGAGGACGAGGGGGAATGGCTATAAACTGGAAGAGGGCAGGTTTAGATTAGATATTAGGAAGAAATTTTTCACTATGAGGGTGGTAAGGCACTGGAACAGGTTGCCCAGAGAGGTTGTTGAGGCCCCATCCCTGGAGGTGTTTAAGGCCAGGCTGGACGTGGCCTTGGGCAACCTGGTCTAGTGGGAGGTGTCGCTGTCTATGGCAGGGGGGTTGGAACTCTATGATCTTCAAGGTCCCTTCCAACCTAAACCACTCTATGAATCCCAAGCAGCAGTGTGCAAGCTGTGTATGAGGTTCATTGACTCACATGATGCTGACTCTGTGGGATTTCTGGCCTTTTAAAAAAAGAATAATATTCTTGGGATGCTGAAATGAAATGCTTCTAAAGAATAGCTTATTGGTCTGGAACACTGTCGTGGTTTAGCCCCAGCTGGCAACAAAGAACCACGCAGCCGTTCACTCACCCTCTCCCCCCACAGCAGGATGTAGGGAGAATCCAAAGAAACAGGCAAAACTCATGGGTTGAAATAAAGGCAGTTTAACAGAAAAGCAAAGGAAAGAGGAAAACAACAACAATAATACTGATAAAGGAATATACAAACATGATTAATGTACAAATGGTCACCACCTGGAAAGCCCCAGCCTGCTCCGGAGCAGTGATTCCTGCCTTCCCCCCGTGCTATGTACTGAGCATGACATCACATGGGATCGAATAACCCTTTGGCTAGTTTGTGTCAGCCTTTCCAGCAGCGTCCTGTCCCATCTCCTTGTGAAAAGTAATCCTATCCCCGCTGGAACCAGGACAATCACACACAATAAAGTGGCTTTTCAAGCAGATGGAGAAAACTAAACTGTGCTGTCTGTGCAAACAGTATTCTTCAGTGTCTCAAACCTGAAACAGAGAGCTTAAAAGCAGGTTGCAGGAAAAAGGGATTTACAAATAAAAGAGATTTTATGGGTCAGTACTGGGACCCATGCTGTTCAACATCTTTGTTGGCGACATGGACAGCGGGGTCGAGTGCACCTCATCAAGTTTTGCCGATGATACCAAGCTGTGTGGAGAGGTAGAAACGCTGGAGGGGAGGGATGCCATCCAGAGGGAGCTGGAGAGGTGGGCCCAAGCCAACCTCATGCAGTTCAACAAGGCCAAGTGCAAGGTCCTACATCTGGGTCGGGGCAATCCCAAGCACAAATACAGGCTTAGTGGGGAATAGCTGGAGAGCAGCCCTGAGGAGAAGGACCTGGGTGTGCTGACTGACGAGAAGCTCAACATGAGCCAGCAATGTGCGATCACAGCAGTCGTGGTTTAGGCCAAATCGGCTACTGGGGACCTGGGGGACACCAGATGGGACCAACAGATGCTCCCCTCTACCCCTCTTCAAAAAGAGGGGCAGAGGAGGAAAAAGAGACTTATGAGTTTAGAAGGAACTAAACTACTTTAATGAAATATTAATAATAAAATAAAAATGAAATAATGAAATATATACAAAACCGTATCAAGCTCCCGAGATGACAACCATGACACCGTCTGTCACTGGGGCAGTCCCAGGCTGACTCAGTGATGGACGGGAACTGGATTCCGGATCTGCATTGAGGATCGGGATCGCAGGCAGATGAACAGAGTTCTTCTCAGACGTTGGCCATTGCAGGAAGAGAGAGAGAGCTGACCCTTTGATCCCTCAGCCTTTACACTGAGCATGAGGCAGATGGGATGGAATACCCTCGTTGGTCAGTTTTGGGTCACCTGTCCTGTTCGCTCCTCCCTGCAGGTGGGACTCCACTATGCTTTTCTGCTTCTGACCCTCCAGTGGGGCAAATAACAAAGTTGGTTGGCCTTGGTTGTTATAGC